AACCCATGTGAGACTAGGCTCTAAGAAAAGCTGTCTCGGGTGTGGACCAATCAACTTCAAGGACAGTGCACATTATCAGAGTTATGTTTATTGTTTGCATTATGACTGCAGGTATTGTGGTCTATGCAAACATGACTCCTTGTAAAAAGGTGTCAGTTTTGTTGCCAGATAGAAGGGTAAAAAAACAATCATCATATTTTTACTGGCAAATGAGGTTTCAACGAGTAATGTTTTTAAAAAATAAATGAATTTGATAAACGAGCGAGGTCTTGCAATACGAGTAGTACGTATACGCTTTGTCTGCCGAGCGTCACGTGATCACAACTGATATACGAGTGCTTTGGATTATAAACACGTTTCCAAAACGAATTATGCTCGCAATCCAAGGTTTTACTGTATATAGGTTTAAATTATAACTATTAAACTATGTATATTGTGACCCAACTGTATTGGTGTATATGAGTGTATGCACACTTGTATTTGTTCATCGCTCTCATCAAAACCATACCACAAGGCGACCGCCGCTGTACAAGTTGTTTAATTTACAAGTTGAAACAGTTGAACTGTTGTTTTTTTTTTACTTCTGTAGTTTTTTTACAGCATAAATATAAAAATATGAATACGTTAAAGTTAACGGTAACACGCGACGAGAATTTTTTTTGCAAAAAAACCTTCGGGCTCCATAAAAAGTACACGGGCAAACCCCGCGAACCTCCATTTTGACGGTTGGCAAGCGTCCATTTTGGCGGTGGGCAAACCTCCATTTTGACGGTTGGCGAGCCTCCATTTTGGCGGTGGGGGAGCTTCGATATTAGCGGTGGGGGAGCATCTATATTGACGGTGGGCAACTTCCATATTGGCGGTTGGCACGTGCCACATTAAGCAAAGAACACAAATGCGATTTTCATCGTCCGAGTAGCCCGTGGCATGCGTGCGAAGGCGGTGGCCATTTTGGTGTCCACTTGCTTGCCACGCTATCGGTGTCGAAGGCGACCGCCAACAATGGCCAGGGGGGTGTTACGCATCACAGTCGCCATCACGCACGAATGCAAACTGATAAACAATTCCCAGAAACAAACTGCGAGGCCCGACCGAGAAAGAAAGAAAAAATATATATGTAACACTTGTGAGTTATCAGACAAAGCGGTGGATGGCACTCTGGGATGGTAATATAATCATTGGAAGAAAGCAAAGTAACATTTATAGTGACGAGCATACCCCCCCCGTTACTCGACGGCACTTCTTAGGACGCGCAAGTTAAGCAAGTAACCAATCAAACGATCGCATTCGCCATCGCCAGCCAATTGCGAAGCCCTGCCCTGTCGCAATTCGATGCTTTTGATTCGCCTTGTCACCAAACTATGGGCTCTCCCGATGCGTTACCAGGTTGCGCCACGTATCGCTCATCAAAACGATGCCTGACGATTCGCCCCCCCTCCCCCCACGCAGATGTGTTTTTTGTATTTTATTTGCTTTCGTTAACGATTTCGAGGCATGGGAAAGCCAGAAACGAGAGCGGCAAGGCAGCCAAAAGTGGCGTCAACAATTGGCCATGCTCTACGGGGTACGAGATTGGGATTTCTTTTCCCTCCGCCAATCCCCGTAGCGAGTGTTCATCATCCACAGCCAGAGCCGGCCCAGCCACTAAGCGACCCTTGCAATTGCAAAGGGCCCCGTGGCCAGCAAAGGGCCCCCTAGAGTCACTGCTAGCGAGTGGGTGAAAAAAATCATACAGCAAAGGGGCCTCCAACCAAATTTTGCTTAGGGCCCCCAAAGGTCTAGGGCCGGTTCTGTCCACAGCGAGCCGTACACACGCTTCTACGTGGGCAACCCGATGCTAGTTTTTCCTAGCACGTGGCGGGAAACGTCGTGAATACTGGGCCAAACAACACGCGGTAAAAACCCGAGTTTTGCGCTGCAGAAAAAACGTGACCGCCTATGCCGTGGTCATTAACGCTGGCTGGCGTTTGATTGGTTTCAACCGCCCCCCCCCCCCCCCCGCCAAAAACAATACTGCTCTTTGGATTTTGTTTTACTTTCGCACGATCAGAGACACAGCCCTTAACGGCGCGACTACTTCAAACCAACAGCTCTCGTCGGCTCAATTCAAGCGACCCTCCAACCCAAGTCGCCACCCCCTGCAGTGAATTTATCGGCACGACGTTTTGGCAGTAGGGCTACTACAGCAGTGGGGGGGGGGGGGGTTAGACGCTGCGCTGATGATCCCCCTTGGTGAGAGTGGACGCTAGCACGGAGGTTTTCAAGTTGTTGTTTTTTTGTTTTTACTGCCGGTTTAGTTTTTTTGCTTTCATTTATTACGAAAAAAAGGCCACGCTTTTTTTTTGAGCCGTTGGGTTTTCCCCCCCCCCATTCTCCATTTAACCAATCAGACTCGCTCGCCAGAGTCGATTTGTGAAAACAACCAAGAAATGGCAAGGCAACGCGGTTACCTCGCAAGGTGCTTTTGTATAACAAAACGACACGTATATACACACACGACGGTACGTTAACACACATCACAGCGTGTGCGCCGTTTGATATGACCACCTGTGAGACGACGACAACGACGATGCATACAAATGCAACTCTCTCTGTGTGCGTGCGCATGTGGGCAGACAAAAAAACAACAAACCCTAACCACACATCGTCGTACAGGCTAGAAAACAAGTTACAGAAATAGCAACACTCAAGGATGCGTCGCCTCAGGAGGCGTCATGTGACCACTCGTACATTGAACGAACGCTCTCGCAAGCTTTTGTCCAGACCAACGTATCGAGAAATTGAACAACACGCAAAGGCGCTGCTGCTGCTGCTGCTACTGCTCATAAATGCTCTGCGTGGATGTAATGTGACCGCTACGTTGCATGAACAATGCTTTCATAAGCTTTGTCCAGACCACCGTATCGAGAAATTGAACAACACGCAAAGGTGCTGCTGCTACTGCTGCTGCTCACATATGCCCTGCGTGGATGTCATGTGAACGGGACGTCAAAAAATTAGCAATGCTCTCAAGCCTCACCGCACTGAGGATGATGAGTCCTCGGGACGAGGTCGGTCTGTAGTCGTCCGTTCCACAGCCGCCCGATGGGACGTCCGCAATTTTCAACCCTCTAGAGTTGTCGGCCTAAATCAAGGAGTCCTTCAAGGACTGCTGTATCGTGCCGTCTCGTATTCGCATCACCGTTGCATCGCGGCTCTTTGAAATAGTTTTTTTTCCTTCTGAGATGGTGGTCTAGGCAAGGCTGAGAGCGTAGCACACGCAGCGCGCTGGTCACATCGGCGTGCGTGCAGGGCATGCGGACGGCAGTCGCATCTTCCTGTTGCCTGCGAGCAAACGCAACTTTGCGTGTTGTCAAAGCTCGTGAGTTGGTGGTCTAGGCAAGGCTGAGAGCGTAGCACACGCAGCGCGCTGGTCACATCGGCGTGCGTGCAAGGCACGCGAACGGCAGTCGCATCTTCCCGTTGCCTGCGAGCAAACGCAGCTTTGCGTGTTGTCAAAGTTCGTGAGTCGGTGGTCTAGGCCAGGAGTTGGTGGTCTAGGCAAGGCCCAGAGCGTAGCACACGCAACGTGCTGGTCACATCGGCGTGCGCGCAGGGCACGCCAACCGGCCAACGACAAGTCAAGCGCAGCTTCGCGTCTTGACGACGAGCTGAAGCGTGACGAACATTTACAGTCTAAATTATGAACAACAAAATGGCAACACCGAAAAACATTTGCCTATGCAACGCTTACAAAAAATACTTGTTTAACAACCCGTTGGGGTTTCTTTCGTTTCAGCCGTGTGTCTGTATAGATGCCAAGTGGCATACTTGAAATGCGCGGCGTTTATTGCATATACGCGAAAAAAAATTCGCCTACGTCAGTTTCACCACGATAATATTGCAAGAGTAACTCTCCGGCCCTCGGAAGAGATGCCACCAAGTCACATATGTACACGGTAATAAAACAACGTTATATATACACACACACACACACACAACGCTTAAACAGAGCGACAAACGGAAGGGTTCCTGCGCCATCGTCTCGACTTATAAAACTACATTTGTATAAAACACCTGCTTCGAATCCTTGTTCCTCCAAAATCTTTCCCCCCAAGGTGCAAACATGTTTGAAAATCATCCCCCCCTTGTCCTGACACATGTTATTTGGCGTATTCCGATCAGTTGTTTGTGTGTGGCGGTCAAAGGCGGACAACAGGAACAGCGGTAGCAGAGACACCGACGTGGGAACGGGAGATGACGACGAATGAGGAGGCAACGTGACGATTATTTACACCGGCGGCTCTTAAACCTTTTACTGCAACCCTGCACCCCTTTGGTTCTGAATCGTTAAAAACAAAAAGCATGTTGATAAATACACGGACTCCCTCTACTTACGAATAAAGTTAAGTTCCAGAGGTATGTTCGTAAGTCGTTGTTTAATCTCCTGTAGATGCCACTGGTTCTTCGCGTTCTGCAGATGTAGATGCCACTGGTTCCTCACTTTCTGTAGATGGAGATGCCACTGGTTCTTCACGTTTTGTAGATGGAGATGCCACTGGTTCTTCACGTTCTGCAGATGTAGATGCCACTGGTTCCTCACTTTCTGTAGATGGAGATGCCACTGGTTCTTCACGTTCTGCAGATGTAGATGCCACTGGTTCTTCACGTTCTGTAGATGGAGATGCCACTGGTTCTTCACGTTCTGTAGATGCCACTGGTTCTTCACGTTCTACAGATGTAGATGCCACTGGTTCTTCATGTTCTGCAGATGTAGATGCCACTGGAAATAATAAAAATAAAACATAATAAAATAATTCTCACGACGTTTCGGCCACAACGCAAGCAGCCGTCCCTCAGGTGAAGAACAGGTCTGTCGGAAAGACAGCGTCTGAATGAGAACAGGTCTGTCGGAAAGACAGCGTCCTCATTCAGACGCTGTCTTTCCGACAGACCTGTTCTTCACCTGAGGACGGCTCCTCATTCAGACGCTGTCTTTCCAACAGACCTGTTCTTCACCTGAGGACGGCTGCTTGCGTTGTGGCCGAAACCTTGTGAGAATTATTTTATTATTATTATTCTTTTATTATTTCCCTTCTACGTGACTTTACCGAAAGAACCAAAAAGATGAATCCCTGCTGCAGTCACGAAAGCTTTAAATCGAAATTTAACTGCCTCTATCTGGTCACGAGCACTGCCCCCCCACATACCCTGCCAAGTGTGCCAGGCCCTTTTCCTGCGTTGCCCCCCAAAGCCGTGGCCATTCACTTCCATCGAATATTCGACCTCGGTTTGTTTAAATCGCCACCTCAAGATATTTTTTTTCCTCTCTTAAAAAGGACGTTTTTCTCCCGATTAATTTTGCTGCGTTGTGATCGGGAGCGTGGGGAGCGGTGGCGCAGCGGTTAGCGCCGCGCTACGAACCCGGCGACCCGGGTTCGATTCCCGCTCACGGCCAACACCAGTGGACGAATATCTGAGCCGGTCCTGGGGCCTCCCTCTAGGTCGGCTCAGCCTCGAATGAGCACCCGGTGCGGTGTGCAGTAAACATCGCCACGGGGGAGACGACGCCTCCAACCTCGCCGCTAAAGTGACGGCTGACGTCGCCATGACGCCTGTGCCGGGCCAGGGGTCCGGCTAGCAGAGGTCACAATCGGGTACCCGATACCCGTACCCTACCCGATACCCGGCCGGGTACGGGTAGCCGGGTATCGGGTAGGGTACAGGTACCCGCTTGTGACCCTGGTGCGGCCGGGTACGGGTAAGGAATCAAAACCCGTTGCGAACTCTGTCGGCTAGCCACCACTCCGAAGCCACGTGAAGTGTCGAAGGCTCGCTGCTGGCAGGAGGTCATGGGATGGACCCAGCAGGTGCCGTGGGTTGGCCGACTGAGATTTCAATCCATGCATCGGAGAACTGCGAATTCAATCCGTGCGCTGGTAGCGTCCACAAGAACTGAACTGAACGTCCAACCTTTCACTCCGTGCGCTGGTAGCTTCCTCAAGAACTGAACGTTCAATGTTTCAATCCGTGCGCTGGTAGCGTCTTTAAGAACTGAACGTTCAAAGTCTCACTCTGTGCGCTGGTAGCGTCCTCAAGAACTGAACGTTCAATGTCTCACTCCGTGCGCTGGTAGCTTCCTCGAGAACTGAACTGAACGTTCAATGTTTCACTCCGTGCGCTGGTAGCTTCCTCAAGAACTGAACTGAACGTTCAATGTTTCACTCCGTGCGCTGGTAGTGTCCTCAAGAATTGAACGTTCAAAGTCTCACTCTGTGCGCTGGTAGCGTCCTCAAGAACTGAACGTTCAAAGTCTCACTCCGTGTGCTGGTAGCGTCCTCAAGAACTGAACGTTCAATGTTTCAATCCGTGCGCTGGTAGCGTCTTCAAGAACTGAACGTTCAAAGTCTCACTCTGTGCGCTGGTAGCGTCCTCAAGAACTGAACGTTCAATGTCTCACTCCGTGCGCTGGTAGCTTCCTCAAGAACTGAACGTTAAATGTCTCACTCTGTGTGCTGGTAACTTCCTCAAGAACTGAACGTTAAATGTTTCACTCTGTGCGCTGGTAGCGTCCTCAAGTACTGCACGTTCAATGTTTCACGCCGTGCGCTGGTAGCGTCCTCAAGTACTGAACTGAACGTTCAATGTTTAACTCCGTGCGTTGGTAGCTTCCTCAAGAACTGAACTGAACGTTCAATGTTTCACTCCGTGCGCTGGTAGCTTCCTCAAGAACTGAATTGAACGTCCAATGTTTCACTCCGTACGTTGGTAGCTTCCTCAAGAACTGAACTGAACGTTCAATGCTTCACTCCGTGTGCTGGTAGCGTCCTCAAGAAATGAACATTCAATGTTTCACTCCGTGCGCTGGTAGCATCCTCAAGAACTGAACGTTCAATGTCTCACGCCGTGCGCTGGTAGCGTCCTCAAGTACTGAACTGAACGTTCAATGTTTAACTCCGTGCGCTGGTAGCTTCCTCAAGTACTGAACTGAACGTTCAATGTTTCACTCCGTGCGCTAGTAGCGTCCTCAAGTACTGAATTGAACGTCCAATGTTGGACTCCGTGCGCTGGTAGCATCCTCAATAAAGCCAAATGGGCGTTTAAAAAGAAATGCAATCATTGACCCTTCCGCCACCTGAAATGAAAACTGGACGCAAGAGACGCATACAATGCGTGTGTGTGTGCCCCCCTCCACGATCTATACCGCGGACCCTTGAAAGTGCCTTTAAAGAAAAATTACCACAGACTTTAGGAGGGGGGGGGGGGGGTGGAGGGGGGTAGCGGGGTGGGGGAAGAAATCTAATTGCGGCTATCGGCGTAGCATCACGAGCCAAAAAGGAATCCGCCCGCATCTCACGCAGAAGCAGCGCGGATGATTATCGTGTCAGGGAACGGCCCCGTGGAGGCGGACATCGCAAAGCTACCCTCAGAGCGCTCCCTCCCCTCATTCAAGTGATGCTCTGGTCCACACAGAAGGGTCCGCGGAAGCAGACGTAGCAGGGCTACATCTGAGACCCCTCCTCATTCAAGTGACCTCTGGTACACACAGAAGGGTCCAGAAGACGTAGCAGGGCTACATCTGAGATCCCTCCTCATTCAAGTGACCTCTGGTACACACAAAATGGTTCGCAGAAGCAGACATCAGAGAACTACCTCCAAGAAGATCCCTTCAAGATTGACGTCTGGTACACACAGAATGGTTCGCAGAAGCAGACATCAGAGAACTACCTCCAAGAAGATCCCTTCAAGTGACGTCTGGTACACACAGAACGGTTCGCAGAAGCAGACATCAGAGAACTACCTCCAAGAAGATCCCTTCAAGTGATGTCTGGTACACACAGAACGGTTCGCAGAAGCAGACATCAGAGAACTACCTCCAAGAAGATCCCTTCAAGTGACATCTGGGAGGACCGCTGGATTGGAGCTCTCAGTTTGCTGTGAACTGTTACACCGCTGTGGCAACGTCCCGTTCGCATTACGGGCATCTCAGACGTGCCGTGTCTCTGATGATGATGAGAGAGACGCAAACTCCAAATATACAGCAGCAGCAGCAGGCGTCAAGGTCGGGATCGAACCCACGACCTCCTGTGTACCAGGCGAGGTAGTCAACATCTCCTAGCCACCGTGATGATGATGATGATGAGAGAGAGACGTAGACTCCACATATACAGCAGGCGTCATCAGGGTCTGGATCGAACCCACCACCTCCTGTACACCAGGCGAGGTAGTCAACATCTCGCCACACGGCACCCCGCCTACTTGCCGCGCATCTTCGTATTTTTTCGGGGGTTTTTTTGGTGTGAGCGTAAAAATGTTGCATAAAAAAAGTTTCGTTTTCAAAAATAAAAAAAAACCTCCCCGAGGAGGGGAACGTCGCGATACGAACGTCGCACGATCAAAAGGGAGACGACCTTGATCAGACGTTGTGACGCGTCACCACCCACCCGCCCGTCTGTCCGTCTCGTCCGTCCGTCCCCCATCTCTGCGCCATCCCCAGAGACGACGACATCGCATCCCACGGACCGCACGTTCGATATCGTCGCGAGGACACCACTTGCAACCGTGCCGGGGAGGCGTCGCGCGCCCTGCGGATGACTTAACGTTCCACCGTCACTTCTCGTCGGTGACATCACTTCCCGGCAACGACGACATCACTTCCTGCCGCCGACGACATCACTTCCTGCCGCTGATGACATCACTTCCCGGCGACGACGACATCACTTCCTGCCGCCGACGACATCACTTCCTGCCGCTGATGACATCACTTCCCGGCGACGACGACATCACTTCCTGCCGACGACGACATCACTTCCCGGCGACGACATCGCTTCCCGCCGATGACACAATCACCTCATGACGCCGCCGACATCACTTCCTGCCGCCGTCGACATCACTTCCTGCCGGCGACGACATCACTTCCTGCCGGCGACGATACCACTCCTTTGCGTGCCGCGTCCAACGACGTGAAATTGCCCCATCGGCGGCAAATCCCGCCGATGACGGTCACCCGCCCGCGCACAGTCTCGATTCCACCGTCGCCGTGACAATGACGTCACATGGCGGAGGGGCGCGAGGCGGGAGTGAAGGGCGGCAGGAAGGTGTCCGCTTTCGGGGCCTCCGGTTGGGGTCCCGAGGGGGGCACCTTTTGTGGGGGGCTGCAGCTCCCTCCACTCTCCAGGCTGCTCCACGATAGGCTAGCGGGGGGGAACGGCGGGGACACAAGAGTGAGACGCAAGGGGGCGTTGTGAGAGACACGAAGACACGTGGGAGACACACGGGGGACACACGAGAGACACGGGGGGGGCGTTGTGAGAGACACGGAGACACACGGGGGACACACACAAGAGAGAGACACAAGGGGGCGTTGTGAGAGACACGGAGACACATGGGGGACACACGAGAGACACGGGGGGTCGTGTGTGAGACAAGGAGACACACGGGGGACACACGAGAGACACGGGGGGGCGTTGTGAGAGACACGGAGACACACGGGTGACACACACAAGAGAGAGACACAAGGGGGCGTTGTGAGAGACACGGAGACACATGGGGGACACACGAGAGACACGGGGGGTCGTGTGTGAGACAAGGAGACACACGGGGGACACACCAGAGAGAGACGCAAGGGGGCGTGTGTGAGAGACACTGAGACATCTCTCAGCCGTGATGTTGATGAGAGAGACGCAAACTCCAAATATACAGCAGCAGCAGGCATCGTCAGGGTCAGGATCGAACCCATGACCTCCTGCGTAACAGGCGAGGTAGTCAACATCTCCTAGCCACCGTGATGATGATGATGAGAGAGAGACGCAGACTCCAAATATACAGCAGCAGCAGGCGTCGTCAGGGTCGGGATCGAACCCACGACCTCCTGTGTACTAGGCGAGGTAGTCAACATCTCCTAACCACCGTGATGATGATGAGAGAGAGACGCAGACTCCAAATATACAGGAGCAGGCGTCGTCAGGGTCGGGATCGAACCCACGACCTCCTGTAGACCAGGCGAGGTAGTCAACATCTCCTAGCCACCCTGACAAGCGGGGGAGGGTGGGTGGGCACGTGAGAGAGGCGGTCGGGGATGCGTCAGAGACACCAGGGAAAGGAGTCGGGCACGCTGGAGACCTACGGGGGGCGGGGTGGGCGTTCACTTTGACGCGAGGACGTCACTCGGGGGCCGTACCTGTGCGTGAGCGGGTGAGGCATGATGGGAAATTCTGGCGAGGTGGAGAGTAAGGTGGCGGCGGCCGCGGCGGGGCCTGGGAATGACCTCTTAGAGGGCATCTCGTTGCTTGGGTCGACTGCACGCACAAAGACGACACGCCAAGATAAATATCTCACCCAGCCACGCTTATCCGCGTAGCCTTGACGAAACTGTTGGATCTTGATTTGAAGCTTTCGTGACTGCAGGAATCCATACTCTTAGTTCTTTCGGTAAAGTAATGTAGGTAAAAAATTGAAATTAATAAAAAATTTAACAATAAGATCACGACGTTTCGGAGGCAACACAAGTCTCCGTCATCAGGTGGGACCGTCACAGCCAGATTTGCTTGATGCATTTGCTTGATGCATTTGCTTGATGCAGCAAATCTGGCTGTGACGGTCCCACCTGATGACGGAGAATTGTGTTGCCTCCGAAACGTCGTGATTTTTATCATTTTATTTTTATTAATTTTAATTTCATTTTTTTACCTACATGGTGACTTTACCGACAAAACTAAGAGTATGAATCCATACTCTTTGGTTCTTTCGGTAAAGTCACGTAGGGTAGAAAAATTAACCCGTAAAAACAAAGTTTTTCACTATAAATCCTTTATATGCGTGGCGGCTAGAGTCCTCTCGTCCTCTGGCTTGAGATGGCTGCCACCTATGGGTCAGATGATTGCATGCCAGCATTAAGCAATTGGTAAGTAAATATTTAATTTTTTTCCCTATTTTTTCACGAAAATGCATTGTCACGCACGAGTCTGTGTGCAAAATGTCAGCTCGATTGGATCACGGGAAGTGGGTTAAAAAACGACCGAAAGATTTGCACGGTCCTAAGCAAGCAAGCTTAGGACCGTGCAATAATAACACTGGTCAACAAAAAAAATATTTTTTTCTGGCCTGGACTTTTGCAGCTGTTTTAGACTAATTTCAGGGTGCCGATTCCAAATCTGATCTCAGATTTGCTCTATCACATCTCATTTTTCTGCTACTGGCATACCCCATTTTAATTGATTTTACCCGAAATTAACTTATGATTGCAAGTTGTTGCGAGTCAGTGACTGCTTTAGTGTTAAAACATGGTGCTGTATTTTTAGGATGGTGTGTTTATAATATCATTTTATGTAGATATCCACATTTATTTAATATTTTTCTTCCGCAGTTTTTATTGAAAATACAATATTTGATATCTCAAAAACCTGATGCGATAGACAAAAACTCGCACGTTGTCGGTGAACAGTGGGGGGTGGGTGGGGGGGGGTGCTCACCTTTACGCTTGAGACAGCCAAAGGTGCCGGGTCTCGGGCAGCTACCGGGGCTGTTACTCCTCCTCCTAACGCCACACGGAGACACGGAGGCGGTTGCGGGGAGGGGGGGGGGAGGGAGAGCCGGAGTGAACGTGCTTGCCGGGGTACGTGCGGGCTTGCGGGTTGAGGGCGGAGCGAGCCGTCTCGGCCGCTGTGATGAGAGCGTTTGCCGCGGGGAAAAAGTAAAGCTGAATGCAAAACGCTCGGCGGGGAAACCGGTTCCACCTCGTAAATGATGCAGAACGCCAAGAACCAGTGGCATCTACAGAACGTGAAGAACCAGTGGCATCTACAGAACGTGAAGAACCAGTGGCATCTACAGAACGTGAAGAACCAGTGGCATCTACAGAACGTGAAGAACCAGTGGCATCTACAGAACGTGAAGAACCAGTGGCATCTACAGAACGTGAAGAACCAGTGGCATCTACAGAACGTGAAGAACCAGTGGCATCTACAGAACGTGAAGAACCAGTGGCATCTACAGAACGTGAAGAACCAGTGGCATCTACAGAACGTGAAGAACCAGTGGCATCTAGCAGAACGTGAAGAACCAGTGGCATCTGCAGAACGTGAAGAACCAGTGCATCTAGAACGTGAAGAACCAGTGGCATCTGCAGAACGTGAAGAACCAGTGGCATCTACAGAACGTGAAGAACCAGTGGCATCTACAGAACGTGAAGAACCAGTGGCATCTACAGAACGTGAAGAACCAGTGGCATCTACATCTGTAGAACGTGAAGAACCAGTGGCATCTACATCTGCAGAACATGAGGAACCAGTGGCATCTACATCTGCAGAACGTGAAGAACCAGTGGCATCTGCAGAACATGAAGAACCAGTGGCATCTACAGAACGTGAAGAACCAGTGGCATCTACAGAACGTGAAGAACCAGTGGCATCTACAGAACGTGAAAAATCAGTGGCATCTACATCTGTAGAACTGAAGAACCAGTGGCATCTACATCTGCAGAACATGAGGAACCAGTGGCATCTACATCTGCAGAACGTGAAGAACAAGTGGCATCTACATCTGCAGAACGTGAAGAACCAGTGGCATCTACATCTGTAGAACGTGAAGAACCAGTGGTATCTACATCTGCAGAACGTGAAGAACCAGTGGCATCTACATCTGCAGAACGCAAAGAACCAGTGGCATCTACATCTGTAGAACGTGAAGAACCAGTGGCATCTACATCTGCAGAACGTGAAAAACCAGTGGCATCTACAGAACGTGAAGAACCAGTGGCATCTACATCTGCAGAACACAAAGAACCAGTGGCATCTACATCTGCAGAACGTGAAGAACCAGTGGCATCTACATCTGCAGAACGTGAAGAACCAGTGGCATCTACATCTATAGAACGTGAAGAACCAGTGGCATCTACATCTACAGAACATGAGGAACCAGTGGCATCTACATAACGTGAAGAATCAGTGGCATCTACATTTACAGAACGTGAAGAACCAGTGGCATCTACATCTGCAGAACGTGAAGAACCAGTGGCATCTACATCTGTAGAACGTGAAGAACCAGTGGCATCTACATCTGCAGAACCTGAAGAACCAGTGGCATCTACATCTGCAGAACGTGAAGAACCAGTGGCATCTACATCTGCAGAACGTGAAGAACCAGTGGCATCTACATCTGCAGAACATGAAGAATCAGTGGCATCTACATCTGCAGAACGTTAAGAACCAATGGCATCTACATCTACAGAACGTGAAGAACCAGTGGCAGCTACATCTACAGAACGTGAAGAACCAGTGGCAACTACCGTGTCATGATGGAAATGTTAAGGCTATGGGGGGGGGGGGGGGGGTGATCTTCGTCTTTGTACGCACATGCGTGTGTACGTACGTGTACGTACGTGCGTGTGTGTGTACGTGCATGTATGTGTACGTACGTACGCGTACGTATGTGCGTGTGTGTACGTACATGTGTGTACGTACGTTCGTGTGTGTGCGTACGTACGTGTGTGTACGTGCGTGTACGTACGTGCGTGTGTGTACGTGTGCGTGCGTGCGTGTGTGTACGTACGTGTACGTATGTGCGTGTGTACGTATATGCGTGTACGTACGTGCGCGTGTGTACGTACGTGCGCGTGTGTACGTACGTACTTACGCGTACGTACGTGTACGTACGTACGTGTGTGCGCGTGTGTACGTACGCGTGTGTACGTGCGTGTGTGCGTGTAACTGGTGCTGCTCACTCACGCAGGCTGCGGCCTCCGCTGGAAGAACGCTCCCCCCCCTCCACTCACCACCGCCTGCTGCAACGACGGAGCAAACAGCTGCTACGGGGACACGGGGGGGAGGTGGATTGGGGTTGGTGGTGGGGGGAAGAGAGGGGGGAGCAGGGTTACGACTTACACGCGCACACACACACACGCGCGTCTGCGTGCGTGTCTTCGTGTTAGCATAGTTATGGGGAGCAGTAGTTGTAGCGGTTAGCGCTACGAAGCCGGCTGTGACCTGAGTTCGATTCTCGCTCACGGCCAACACCGCCAGTGACGATTACCTGAACCGGTCCTGGGCCTCCCCTAGGTCGACTCGGCCGCAAACGAGTACCTGGTGTGGTGTGCAGTAGACATCGCCACTGGGGAGACAAAGGCAGCCGGGAGTGGTGCTGGCCACCCACCCCCTCGTGTGCCACAGTGCCGGCCTTCGTAGGTGCTCGCTAACAGCACTTGCCCCTACAGTCTGTTAGAGGCTACACGGGGGACCTTTGTCTGTGTCTATAGGTGCTGCTCAAAGTTCAAAGTTCATGTATTAGGTATAGCCCTGTGAGCCATTCGGCTCTTGAATCGGGTGCAACCGCAATAAACAAAAAAACATGAACAAGAAAACATCTCAAAGTGACTATGTGCAAACAGAAAATCCAAGTGCTCGCTACTAACAGCACTTGCCCCTACATCCTGTTAGAGGCTACACGGGGGACCTTTGTCTGTGTGTCTATAGGTGCCGCTCGCTACCAACAGCACTTTCCCCACAGCCTGTTAGAGGCTACACGGGGGACCCTCGTCATTGTTACCCGGCTGAAGGCGCGAGTGTTCGATGACGACGCCGCAGCCGCTGGGCACGACGGCGGTGGAGGTGGTAGAGGTGGTGGTGGTGGGAACGAGTCGGTGCGTCGCTGCGTCGACAACGCAGCCGTCGGCGCGGCCGGCCTCTCAGCGTCGCACATCTGCTCGCACTGACGCACCGCAGGCAACGACGCACACAAGACGACGACACCGTCACCGTCATCATCATCACCACCAGAATCATCACCATCATCATCATCGTCGTCGTCGCCGCCATCGCCGCCATCACCACAATCACCACCATCATACCACCATTGCCATCACCACCATCATCACCACCATCATCTACATCACCACCATCATCATCATCACCATCATCATCACCACCATCATCATCACCATCATCATCACCACCATCATCATCATCACCACCATCATCATCATTATCATCACCACCATCATCATCATCATCACCACCATCATCATCATCATCACCATCACAATCACAATCATCACCACCATCATCATCACCACCATCATCACCACCATCATCATCATCACCATCATCATCACCACCACTATCATCACCACCATCATCATCATCACCATCATCATCACCACCATCATCATCACCACCATCATTATCATCACCACCATCATCATCATTATCATCACCACCATCATCATCATCACCACCATCATCATCATCATCACCATCACAATCACAATCATCACCACCATCATCATCACCACCATCATTACCACCATCATCATCACCACGACCATCATCATCACCACCACTATCATCACCACCATCATCATCATCACCATCATCATCACCACCATCATCATCACCACCATCATTATCATCACCACCATCATCATCATTATCATCACCACCATCATCATCATCATCACCACCATCATCATCATCATCACCATCACAATCACAATCATCACCACCATCATCATCACCACCATCATCACCACCATCATCATCACCACGACCATCATCATCACCACCACCATCACCACCATCATACCACCACTACCACCATCATACCACCATCACCACCACCACCATCAACATCATCATCGTCGTCGTCGTCACCGCCATCGCAGCCATCACCACCATCATCATTACCACCATCACAATCGCCATCACAATCACCACCACCATCACCACCACCATGTGGAAACTTATAGTAGCGTCCAAATACTCGAGATGCTACGTGACTATTTTTATATTTTACCAGATGAGGCTCCACTCAGCCGCGATGCAGCGGCTCGTTTTTTCAGAAGCCAAATGAAATCAGCTCAAGCAAGTGGTGGGTTACCATCCTCACGTGGAAATTTTAATCAGCAAAAGGAACTCAAAACGTGAAATCGATTCTAAATGTGGAGGGGAAAACCGGAGAACCCGGAAAAAAATTAACGCGACTACGCGGAGAGAGTGATTCGCAAACTCCAAATACACAACAGGCATTAGCGGTAGGGTTCGAACCCACGACCTCCTGTATACCGGGCGAGGTAGTTAACATCATGCAAAAATACAGGAATTGTCAGGGTCAGAATCGAACCCACGACCTCCTGTATACCAGGCGAGGTAGTTAGCATCATGCCAAAATACAGGCATCAGGGTCAGACTCGAACCCACGACCTCCTGTATACCGGGCGAGGTAGTTAACATCGTGCCAAAATACAGGCATCGTCACAGGGTCAGAATCGAACCCACGACCTCCTGTATACCGGGCGAGGTAGTTAACATCTCCTAGCCACCGCAGGGGTTTGTCGCTGAAACAGAACGTGCCAATTCATTACTGTCCACCCGATGATGCCTGTTGTAATTACTGGCGAAAAACGTTGGTTCTCAGATTGTAAATGTTGTAGTGAGTTTAACTCTCCAACACACGCTGTACTAGTAACGAATTGTAAATGTTGTAGTGGGTTTAACTCTCCAACACACAGGAACCGGTTAGTGCTGTACTAGTAACGAATTGTAAATGTTGTAGTGGGTTTAACTCTCCAACACACAGCAACCGGTTAGTGCTGTACTAGTAACGAATTGTAAATGTTGTAGTGGGTTTAACTCTCCAACACACAGCAACCGGTTAGTGCTGTACTAGTAACGAATTGTAAATGTCGTAGTGGGTTTAACTCTCCAACACACAGCAACCGGTTAGTGCTGTACTAGTAACGAATTGTCAATGTTGTAGTGGGTTTAACTCTCCAACACACAGCAACCGGTTAGTGCTGTACTAGTAACGAATTGTAAATGTTGTAGTGGGTTTAACTCCCCAACACACAGCAACCGGTTAGTGCTGTACTAGTAACGAATTGTAAATGTTGTAGTGGGTTTAACTTTCCAACACACAGCAACCGGTTAGTGCTGTACTAGTAACGAATTGTAAATGTCGTAGTGGGTTTAACTCTCCAACACACAGCAACCGGTTAGTGCTGCACTAGTAACGAATTGTAAATGTAGTACTGGGTTTAACTCCCCAACACACAGCAACCGGTTAGTGCTGTACTAGTAACGAATTGTAAATGTCGTAGTGGGTTTAACTCTCCAACACACAGCAACCGGTTAGTGCTGTACTAGTAACGAGTTGTAAATGTTGTAGTGGGTTTAACTCTCCAACACACAGCAACCGGTTAGTGCTGTACTAGTAACGAACAAAAAAACCTCTTATTAAAGATGCTCCCCCCCCCTCTCCACTCTGCTGTCCGGATATGAAAGCGCCCCTCCAAAAACATAGATCTCCAAGCTCCCCCTTTCAAATAAATGCCGAGCTCGCAAGCCTCGTAGGTTGGACATCTCCCTAAGTTCACCACGCGCCCCGTGGCGACCACGCCGATCAGACAGGCCGGCCGGGACCGAGATGGCCGTTGTTTCGCAGCCGCACTCCAAGCGAGCGAGGGACGAGGTCACGGCGTCGCCTGCCGGGGTAGGGGATGCTCACCAGGGAGAAGTCTTCCCAAGGCTGGCCGACCTGCATGGCGGCCTGCACGTCTCTGTCGAAGCGGCAGACAGGGCGAAAGGGCACACGCAATTATTACACGACGCACGTACGCAGAACATCTTTCACACTGTACGTATCCAACCGTGCTGTGTTTGTGTGTTGACGGACATCCCCGTCGAATCGCAAACTCCAAATACACAACAGGCATTAGCGGTACGATTCGAACCCACGACCTCCTGTATACCAGGCGACGGACATCCCCGTAGATTCACAAACTCCAAATACACAACAGGCATTGCCGGGAGGGTTCGAACCCACGACCTCCTGTATACCAGGCGAGGTAGTTAGCATAATGCAAAAATACAGGAATTGTCAGGGTCAGAATCGAACCCACGACCTCCTGTATACCAGGCGACGGACAACCCCGTTGATTCACGAACTCCAAATACACAACAGGCATTAGCAGTAGGGTTCGAACCCACGACCTCCTGTATACCGGGCGAGGTAGTTAGCATCATGCAAAAATACAGGAATTGTCAGGGTCAGAATCGAACCCACGACCTCCTGTATACCAGGTGACGGACAACCCCGTTGATTCACGAACTCCAAATACACAACAGGCATTAGCAGTAGGGTTCGAACCAACGACCTCCTGTATACCGGGCGAGGTAGTTAGCATCATGCAAAAATACAGGAATTGTCAGGGTCAGAATCGAACCCACGACCTCCTGTAAACCAGGCGAAGGACAACCCGGCGTTTCGCAAACTCCAAATATACAACAGGCATTGGCGGTAGGGTTCGAACCCACGACCTCCTGTATACCGGGCGAGGTAGTTAGCATCATGCAAAAATACAGGAATTGTCAGGGTCAGAATCGAACCCACGACCTCCTGTAAACCAGGCGAAGGACAACCCGGCGTTTCGCAAACTCCAAATATACAACAGGCATTGGCGGTAGGGTTCGAACCCACGACCTCCTGTATACCGGGCGACGGACATCCCCGTAGATTGGTCCGCGACACGGGACTGTCCGTGGGGTGTCCCTTATCGATCGGGGGGGGGGGGGGGGGGGGGGGGGCGTTCACACCGCAGTTGAGAGAATCGTTCGGTTTCTGCTGTTGCTGCTGATTTTTTGCCGTTTGTCGTTGGGCCCGGCGGGGAAATTTAGGTCGACGCTTACCTGTCTTGGGCAGTGGACTCCCTGTTCATCATGTCCATCCCCTCCTCCTGAGGCGCGGGCGGGGGGGGGGGGGGGCAGGGGGGGCGCAGGGCAGTCGGGGAGGTAAAGCGTCAGTAGGACAGGACCAGAGGTCGCAAACGGGTTTTGATTCCTTACCCGTACCCGGCCGCACCAGGGTCGCAAATGGGTACCCGTACCCGGCCGGGTACAGGTAGCCGTATCCTACCTGTACCCTACCCGAAATGAGTGACAAACGGTTACTCACCGGTGACTCACGGTCTACCCGTACCCGGCCGCACCAGGGTCCCAAACGGGTACCCGTACCCATACCCGGCCGAGACAACACGAGGTCACGGCAGAGGTCGCAAACGGGTTTTGATTCCTTACCCGTACCCAGTCGGGTACGGGTAGCCGGGTATCGGGTAGGGTACGGGTATCGGGTATCCGGTTGCGACCTCTGAGCAGGACCCCCCTCCACCCCCCTCCGCTCTCTCTCTTTCAACAAACTATGAATCTGTTCTCGACGGCAAGCGATTTACACTACACTATATACTACACTACACACCACACTACACTATACACTACTATACACTACACTATATACTACACTACATTATACACCACAATATATTATACACCACATTATACACTACACTACACACCACGCTACATTATACACCACATTATACACTACACTATACACTACACTATATTATACACTACACCACATTATACACCACACTACATTATACACCACATTATACACTACACTATACACTACACTATACACCACACTACATTATACACCACACTACATTATACACCACACCACACACTACACTACACTACAAACTACACGACTCGACACTACGCATAGGGCTCTATGGAGGTCTATCGTTAAGCGATGAGTCGTTAACGGGGGTGGAGTTAACAGGGGTTCTGTGTGTGTGTTCAACTTCTTTCGCACCGTACGTAGCCAGCCGCGCTACCCAGAGGTGCGGGAGAAGTTCAACAACTACAAACAAAACGAGTTTGTCAATCGCGACGACGATTTAAAAGTGGCAACACAGCGCCCAGTGGCGTCCTAACATCGGACGGAAGAGAGCGTTCCAGACGGCCGCAAAAGCGGCGCGCCCGAAAGCGCCGCGGTGACCACAGGCCGCTAGCGAGAAGACGCACGGAGGACGTGGTCCTTGGGAGTGACAAAGGAGACACTGGGACGAGACGAGTTCCGGGACGAGCGAGACAACACGGGGTCACGGCAGAGGTCGCAAATGGGTTCCTTACTCGTACCCGGTCGTACCAGGGTCGCAAATGGGTACCCGTACCCTACCCGATACCCGGCTACCCGTACCCGCACCCTACCCGTACCCGGCCGGGTAACGGGTAGGGTACGGGTATCGGGTACCCGATTGCGACCTCTGGGATGAAGCCATGTTGCAGGCGCGGTTGGGTTGATTCTAGGAACTTGAATTGTGAGAAGAGACAAGACGTTGGGAAATGAGTGACAAACGGTGACTCACCAGTGACTCACGGTCTAACCCGTACCCGTACCCGGCCGCACCAGGGTCGCAAACGGCTACCCGTACCCGGCCGGGTACGGGTAGCCAGGTATCGGGTAGGGTACGGGTATCGGGTACCCGGTTGCGACCTCTGGGTCACGGGCGAGACGGGCGAGGGAGACCGTGGGTCTCACCAGAGAGTGTCCCCCCGAGAGGCTGACGCTGTTTCTGCGCGGGCGGGGAAAGCCGGGCACGGTGACCTGGAAGCTCTCGCTGCACGGACACGGGGAGAGACACGCAAAGAGTGAGACACGGTGGAGAGACACGCGCAGAGAGAGACACGGTGGAGAGACACGCAGAGTGAGACACGGGGGAGAGACACGGGGGAGAGACACGGGGGAGAGACACGCAGAGTGAGACATGGGGGAGAGACACGCGCAGAGTGAGACACGGGGGAGAGACACGGGGGAGAGACACACGCAGAGTGAGACACGGTGGAGAGACACGCAGAGTGAGACACGGTGGAGAGACACGCGCAGAGAGAGACACGGGGGACAGACACGGAGGAGAGACACGGGGGAGAGACACGAAGGGTGAGACACGGGGGAGAGACATGCAGAGTGAGACACGGGGGAGAGACACGCGCAGAGTGAGACACGGGAGAGACACGCACAGAGTGAGACACGGGGGAGACACACGCAGAGTGAGACACGGGGGAGACACACGCAGAGTGAGACACGGGGGAGAGACACGCACAGAGTGAGACACGGAGAGAGACACGCACAGAGTGAGACACGGGGGAGACACACGCAGAGTGAGACACGGGGGAGACACGCACAGAGTGAGACACGGAGAGAGACACGCACAGAGTGAGACACGGGGGAGACACACGCAGAGTGAGACACGGGGGAGACACGCACAGAGTGAGACACGGGGGAGAGACACGCGCAGAGTGAGACACGGGGGAGACACACGCAGAGTGAGACACGGGGAGACACGCACAGAGTGAGACACGGGGGAGAGACACGCGCAGAGTGAGACACGGAGAGAGACACGCGCAGAGAAAGACACGGGGGAGAGACACGCACAGAGTGAGACACGGGGGAGACACGCACAGAGTGAGACACGGAGAGAGACACGCACAGAGTGAGACACGGGGGAGACACACGCAGAGTGAGACACGGGGGAGACACGCACAGAGTGAGACACGGGGGAGAGACACGCGCAGAGTGAGACACGGGGGAGACACACGCAGAGTGAGACACGGGGGAGACACGCACAGAGTGAGACACGGGGGAGAGACACGCGCAGAGTGAGACACGGAGAGAGACATGCGCAGAGAAAGACACGGGGGAGAGACACGCACAGAGTGAGACACGGGGGAGACACACGCAGAGTGAGACACGGAGAGAGACATGCGCAGAGAAAGACACGGGGGAGAGACACGCACAGAGTGAGACACGGGGGAGACACACGCAGAGTGAGACACGGAGAGAGACACGCACAGAGTGAGACACGGGGGAGACACACGCAGAGTGAGACACGGGGGAGACACGCACAGAGTGAGACACGGGGGAGAGACACGCGCAGAGTGAGACACGGGGGAGACACACGCAGAGTGAGACACGGGGGAGACACGCACAGAGTGAGACACGGGGGAGAGACACGCGCAGAGTGAGACACGGAGAGAGACATGCGCAGAGAAAGACACGGGGGAGAGACACGCACAGAGTGAGACACGGGGGAGACACACGCAGAGTGAGACACGGAGAGAGACATGCGCAGAGAAAGACACGGGGGAGAGACACGCGCAGAGTGAGACACGGGAGAGACACGCACAGAGTGAGACACGGGGGAGACACACGCAGAGTGAGACACGGGGGAGACACACGCAGAGTGAGACACGGAGAAAGACACACGAAGAGTGAGACACGGGGGAGACACACGCAGAGTGAGACACGGAGAGAGACACGCGCAGAGAAAGACACGGGGGAGAGATACGCAGAGAGAGACACGCAGAGTGAGATACGGGGGAGAGACACGCAGAGTGAGATACGGAGAGAGACACGCGCAGAGAGAGACACGGAGAGAGACACGCGCAGAGAGAGACACGGAGAGAGACACGCAGAGTGAGATACGGGAGAGACACACGCAGAGTGAGACACGGAGAGAGACACGCGCAGAGAGAGACACGCAGAGAGAGACAGGCAGAGTGAGACACACAGAGTGAGACACGCAGAGTGAGACACGGGGAGAGAGACACGCGCTGTCTCTATAAAGTATGGGTTCGTGATGGCCATGTCAGAGACATTGACCCATGCCTGCTGAGAGGGCATGGGTTCAAGCACTGGGTCTGGCTGTCTTTATAAAGTGTGGGTTCGTGATGGCCATGTCAGAGACACTGACCCATGACCTCCGAGGGCATGGGTTCAATCACTGGGTCTGTCTTTATAAAGTGTGGGTTCATGATGGCCATGTCAGAGACACTGACCCATGCCTGCTGAGAGGGCATGGGTTCAATCACTGGGTCTGACCGTCTCTATAAAGTGTGGGTTCATGACGACCATGTCAGAGACACTGACCCACGCCTACTGAGGGCATGGGTTCGATCACTGGGTCTGGATGTCTTTATCAAGGCCATGTCGAAAAAGTCGTCCACTCTTCACGCAGACTTCAAAATCGACAGTGTAACGCCTTGAACTTCTTTAAACTCGTTAAACCCGCGCTGACAAGTTCAAATAATCATCTAACAGCAGCAACTGCGGTCTCAAATGCAGATCTCGAGAGGTGAAAGCGGCTGTCGGAGTGGTTGTGTAGGAGTGTGTGGGAGTGTGTGTGTGTGGGGGGGGGGGGAGGTGCGATGGCTCTACACCAACGGGCGGCGGTGCACCTCGGCCGGCAGAGCCCGCTAGGCAAGGCCGTAGGCTTCCGTTGTGGACGGGGAGGGGGGGTGGTGGAGTAGGCCTGAATTTAATTTCTTAACATTTTTAACATTTTCACGAACCCAAATAGAATCGGTCGTCTCACCAGGCGTTGTTGATCATGGGCAGGCTGTTGGAGCGTCGCAGGGCGTTCTCGGGCATCGATTCGCCGCAGAACTCCAACTCCATGCACTCCTGTGCCATCGTGAAAACTCGGCCGCTTAAACCTGGGCGGCAAACGCCGTTGCACATAATCCAAAAAGCGGCTCCGCTCGCCGTTTGTTTTAAGGTAAAAAGGAAGCGAGGGAAAGAGCTGTAGTTTTAAAACGTCGACTTCTAAACGCGAAATGTGTTGGGCAACGTGAAAAAGCAAAGAGAATAAAATTATAACGCGTCAAAAAAATGTAATTAAAATAATTTCGTAAATGGCCACACGTTCGAGATGACTCGTCAAGCGGGAGTTCTCCCTCAAACCTCTCTCTCTCTCTTTCTCCTCACGCCGCTTAAACTTTCTAAACTTTTTCGTAAGATTTTACACATATATGCGAAGCGTTACACGTGAAACAAAACACCGCGGCAATTAAAAACGACGACAAGAAAGTGACTCGTTCAGGCGGCCCGCGGGGACCGATAAGTTTGCTGGGCTCAAATTGTGCGGGAGTCCGCTGCGTTTAGATATCCCACTTCGCTTAGAGGCCTCGTCCCTTACCCCCCCCCCCCTCGTACCCCCCCCCCCCTGGTCCCCCCCCTCGTACCACCCCCCCTGGTCCCCCCCCTCGTACCCCCCCCCTGGTCCCCCCCCCCTCGCCCCCCCCCTCGTACCCCCCCTAGCCCCCCCCCTCGTCCTCGCCCCCCTCATCCCCCCCCCTCGTCCTCGCCCCCCCCTCGTCCCCTACCCCCCCCCCCTCGTACCCCCCCCCTGGTCCCCCCCCCTCGCCCCCCCCCTCGGTCCTTACTCCCCCCCCCCTCGTACCCCCCCTAGCCCCCCCCCTCGTCCTCGCCCCCCTCATCCCCCCCCCTCGTCCTCGCCCCCCCCTCGTCCCCTACCCCCCCCCCCTCGTACCCCCCCCCTGGTCCCCCCCCCTCGCCCCCCCCCTCGGTCCTTACTTCCCCCCCCCCCTCGTACCCCCCTAGCCCCCCCCCTCGTCCTCGCCCCCCTCATCCCCCCCCCTCGTACTCCCCCTAGTCCCCCCCTCTCGTCCCCCCCCCTCTCGTCCCCCCCCCTCGTCCCCTACTCCCCCCCCTCGTCCTCGCCCCCCCCTACTCCCCCCCTTAGTCCCCCCCCCTCGTCCCCTACTCCCCCCCCCCCTCCTCGTACCCCCCCCTCGTCCCCATCCCCCCCCCCTCGCTCCCCTCGTACCCACCCCTAGGTCCCCCTCGCCCCCCCCCCTCGTCCCCATCCCCCCCTCCCCATCCCCCTCGCCCCCCCCTCGTCCCCATCCCCCCCTCCCCATCCCCCCTCGCCCCCCCCTCGTCCCTATCCCCCCTCCCCATCCCCCCCTCCCATCCCCCCTCGCCCCCCCCCTCGCCCCCATCCCCCCCTCCCCATCCCCCCTCGCCCCCCCCTCGTCCCCATCCCCCCCTCCCCATCCCCCCTCGCCCCCCCCTCGTCCCTATCCCCCCCTCCCCATCCCCCCCTCCCCTCGTCCCTATCCCCCCTCGCCCCCCCCCTCGCCCCCCCCTCGTCCCTATCCCCCCCTCCCCTCGTCCCTATCCCCCCCTCCCCATCCCCCCCTCCCCTCGTCCCTATCCCCCCTCGCCCCCCCCCCTCGTCCCCCCCCCCCAAACCCCCTACCCCCACTTGCCCCTCATCCATACGTTTCAACGCGTTCAGAATTCGCAGTCTGCATAGGCCAGGGGGGGGGGGGGGCTTTACACCTGGTGTAAGAGGCTGATCTTTCTTTATTTTATTTTAAAACTATAAACAATGTCATTTTGTTTCTTACACCAGGTGTAAAGGCCCCTCTCCCCCTCGCCCCTCTTATCCATACGTTTCAACGCGATTATAATTCGCAGTCTTCATCAGCGATTTGATCGGTGATTGGTCTTTCATAAACCTTATTTTAGAACTACGTTGTTATTTGTTAAATCTTACACCAGGTGTAATGCCCCACTGAACTGCTATGTAGGAGCAATTTTTTTTACTGGTAGGAACCTCATGGTTACACCAGCCCACAGGGGATTATTCTGTCCGTCCGTCGTGCATCCAAAAATGGGAGGGTGGGGCTGGGTGGAGAGGGCAGGGTGGGGAGGGGCTGGGTGGGGAGGGGAGGGTGGGGAGGGGCTGGGTGGAAAGGGGAGGGTGGGGAGGGGCTGGGTGGGGAGGGTGGGGCTGGGTGGGGGGTGGGGCTGGGTGGGGAGGGTGGGGAGGGGCTGGGTGGGGAGGGGTGGGGCTGGGTGGGGAGGGTGGGAGGGGTGGGGCTGGGTGGGGAGGGGCTGGTCACCCCGTGGTGCCCTTATAAAACTCAACGTTTCACCTACTCACGCCGGCTTGTGCCCGCCCTCACAGTTGGGCATATTTGCGGAATACACCACGCCGCCGTTGACCCTGCAGGCCATTGACCGAGCAACCCGACGTTCCTACCAGCTCCCTCCGCAGGAATGTGTTTTATAAGTGGACTTGGTTATCGCAAATGATGTTAGCTCAGCCAAGTAGCTTATCATGTAAAACATTATAGTAGCAGTCAAATACTCTGCATACTATTTCACTATATTTTTTTATTTCACCAGGTAATGCCTCACTGAACTGCTATAAAGCATCGATTTAAAGCTTTCGTGACTGCAGGGATTCATCTTCTTGGTTCTTTCGGTAAAGTCACGTAGAAGGGAATAATAAAATAATAAAAAAATATTTTATTTTTATTATTTTATTACTTCCCTTCTACGTGACTTTACCGAAAGAACCAAGAAGATGCTATAAAGCATCTGTTTTATTCAGAAGTTGGCCTGGCTATGACAAATGAAAGCTCAGTGGAGTGAGCGCATCATCATCATTTAGAAACTTGTATCAGCAGACAATTACTCTAAATACTTTTAAACTGTAGTAAGAGGTTTTTACCCTTTCAACTGGTACAAAACTGACACCTTTATACAAGGCATAATGTTTGCAATAACCACAACACAAGCAGTTAAAATGTAAACAAAAAGAAACAACTCTGATAATGATAGTTTTTGTACCAGTTGAAAGGGTAAAAACCTATTACTATATGTTGCCACTGGTAAAGGAGATGTCTCATAGTGTAAATGCTTACCCCGAGCTCTCAATACTCTGATGGTGCGCTGTCTTTGAGTTGTACGCCTTTTGGCGTCATCTGGTCCAACACCAATGGAGACTAGGCTCTAAGAAAAGCTGTCTCGAGTGTGGACCAATCAACTTCAAGGGCAGTGCATATCATTATCATCATCAGAGTTGTTTCTTTTTGTTTGCATTTTGACTGCTTGTGTTCTGGTTATTGCAAACATGATGCCTTGTATAAAGGTGTCAGTTTTTGTACCAGTTGAAAGGGTAAAAACCTATTACTATATTTTGCCACTGGTAAAGGAGATGTCTCATAGTATAGTACTTTTAAACTTTTAAACTATTTTTTTTTATTTTATCAGGTGTAAGGTCCCACTGAGCTGCTATATAGTATAATAATAGGGGTTTTCCCCCTTTTTTCTGGCAACAAAACTGAAACCTTTTAACAAGGAATCATGTCTGCAATAACCACAATACACGTGTCTTCAAAATGCAAACAAAAAACCACTCTGATAATATACAGTGGTACCTCGGAGATCGAACTTAATTCGTTCCAAAACCGTGTTCGAACACCGATTTGTTCGAACACCGAATCAATTGTCCCCATAAGAATGAATGGAAATAGCATAGATTGGTTCCCCACCCAAGGATGCTCCTATTATGGACCATTTTTACACAAAGTTTACAATATTACAAAACAGTACAGTACATAAAAGCATTCAAAAAACAAGCAACACAGTTATAATTAATAGAATAAATTAACATTGAACTTCATTTTACCTGTAGTAAGGAGAGTGGATGGCTTCAGTGGAAGGTGGTGAGGAGGGGAGGAGGAGGAGGTGTCAGTGTTGCTTGGAAGGGAAGTCCCCCTCCATTAAAACTAAACCTTCATTTTTGGCTTATCACCAGAGGTCGCAATCGGGTACCCGATACCCGTACCCTACCTGATACCCGGCTACCCGTACCCGGTCGGGTACGGGTACAGGTACGGGTAGCCGTTTGTGACCCTGGTGCGGCCAGGTACGGGTACGGGTAGGCCGTGAGTCACTGGTGAGTCACCGTTTGTCACTCATTTCGGGTAGGGAACGGGTACCCGTACCCGGCTGGGTACGGGTCGCCGTTTGCGACCCTGGTGCGGCCGGGTATGGGTACGGGTAAGGAATCAAAACCCGTTTGCGACCTCTGCTTATCACTGCTACTAACCTTTTCAGGAGCCATTGTGTATGGTTAAACACAAAAAAAAAACACTAAAATAAATGAAATTAACGAAAAAGTTAACGGAAAGATGTTTTGCGGGTCTGCACTGGGCGAGAGCTGCGTGTAAACTGGGTCAATCGCCTTTGTCCCTGGTTACACGTCTTGGCCCAAACAGGTTCTTCCAGTTGTTCGACCTCCGAATTTTTGTTCGATGTCCGGGGACAAAAAATGGTCGAAATTTTTGTTCGATCACCAAATTGTTTGAGTTCTGGGGCATTCGATCTCCGAGGTTTTACTGCGTTGACATTGTCCTTGAAATTGATTGGTCCACACCAGAGACGGCTTTCTTTTGAGCCTCGTCTCAATTGGTGCTAGACCAGAGGACGCCAAAAGGCGTACACGGCACAAAGAAGTCACCCTGACCATCACAAGTCATAGTTCAACCAAGTGAATCATCATCATCATGTGGAAATCTACAGTAGTGTAGTGAGTCAGGAACTAGAGGAGACCCTAGGTGAGGAAACACAATACAGTAAAACCTTGGATTGCGAGCATTATAATTCGTTCTGAAAATGTGTTCGTAATCCTAATTACTCCCTTACCCTTCCTAACAATGGGGCCTGCGCGCTCAAGCGTAATGATCCCAACCCTCCATGACTATGCGCAAGAGCCCCTGCGGTCCCGCTATTCATGCTGTCCCCTCCCTCCTCCGTCTGTCTCGTCGACCCGTGGGGGTGTGTGTGAGTGGAAATGCGCTTCAACCGCGGTGGCCGAATGCCCCACGCCGCGACCACACCATATTAAGGACGGTCGCAGCGCCGCGGCGCAATGTAGCACGGGGGAGGTCATCCAATTCCCTGATCGCCGGAAACCGTGAGAGTTAATCCCGATAAGGATTTCTCGGATAAAAACCGGTCGGCCAGGTGACCTCCCCTCGGAGCTCTATGGGGGGGGGGGGGGGGGAATGCGTGCGGGTGTGTTCATGTGAGGTGAGGTGAGGGGGACAAGGGGTTGGCTCTGATGCTTGGTGGTGGCGAGGTCGGGGATGGGGCGCCTGCCGAACGGCTTCGTGGCGGCGGCATCACACATCCGTCTTCAGGTGTGATGGTTATTTTATTTTACTTTTATTAATTTTAATTTTAAATTTTCACGACGTTTCGGAGGCAACACAAGCTTCCGTCTTCAGGTGTGATGGTTCCACCTGAAGACGGAAGCTTGTGTTGCCTCCGAAACGTCGTGATTTTTATTTTATTAATTTAAATT